ATAAAATAGTTGAGAATATTTATTGCTAGATAATAAAATTTAATAATTAGATATAATCTTTCAAATAAAACTACTCGTCCTCCATGAATAAATATTTAAATATTTTTCAAAAACATAAATATTGTGTATTTTATTTAATCACTGAATCCATTTACTTGACAACTTGACTTTTCAACACATGTACTCAAACATGAATTACTAGAATTTAAATAATTATTAATAATTACAGACTAAACTTAAATAATTAATAGTGTATTGCAATTTAATTTTCTGATCATTTAAAAGTTTATTGTTTTTGAATAAGTGCATACAAGTTAATATTAAGTGAATATTTTAGATATGGATACCGATGCTAGTTTAATGTCGACCAAATTCAAATTTAACCTAACAATTATTTTGTGTTTTATGTATTTTGTATTTGTAAGTTAATAAGATATTCTTAAAAAACTAAATTATAAATTTAAAACCAATAAATATTGAGTATTTGCAAAAGTTTTGCAAGTCCCAAGAGCACTTAAACACAGTTAACTCTGAAACCAAAAAATATTTTTGAATCTCAACTAAGGTTTTTCTTAGTGTTTTCACCTGGAGAGACAAAATTGTTAGGACACCGGTACGTTGGCACATCTATACAACAAAAACTATGTGTTTTATTGTAACGATAGTACCCTGTTTGACATGAGATAGTGCGCCGCACTATCTGTTAAAAAAGTGATTTTTTGGGAAAAAGTATAGGGCGCACTATGCGATGGATGCGCATAATCTGAGAAAAATAATTTCAATTTAAATAATTTTTATTTACAATAATTTTAAATTAATAGAATCAAAGAATTAAAGCAAACTTAGTATTAATTACACAACTTTATAAATTAAAAACACATTAATTTGAGTAAATGTGTTAAAAACGTGAGTATTAGCACAAACTGACTAAATAAATTTTGAGTTAAATTATTTAAACTTTTAATTTTTTTGTCTTATTTAAATCTTGTGTTAAGCTAATGCCTAAACATTTCAAATAAGAATTTGCCCTAAAGCTCTTAATTTATAGTCATTAATACCTGTGTATATTCATATAAAATCTGTGCGCACTATACGCCAGGGCGCACTATCTCACGTCAAACAGGGTAAATTGAGTGGTTTTTATTGTCATGAATTGTTAGCAAGTAAAATTATTTTTTACAAATTCTTTATAAATTCAACAAAAAATTATCAATCTTTCAAAATGCTCTAGCACACATATTTATTGTTAATATCGTTGAAATTAATTTCGTTGGTTGCAGTTTTCGTTGGATTAATCATTTTATGGATTTATAAGAATTTTTTCAAATAAATAACCTACAGGTGCTCTGTATCTCTTCCTGGTACAATAACCAGTCAAATCCCGATAGAGCTATTCGATTAATTTTTATGTTCCTCAAAACAATGTGCTAATTGTCTTTCTGTGACATGTAGTTTTAGCTGTACAGAAAACCTACCTGTGCTGACGTACCGGTGCTCTAGCAGAGTAATCTCTTCGGGTGAATACATAATAGGAAAAACCATAGTTGAGGTTCAAAATAATTTCGATACTTCTACCCGTTTTTAAATAAATCTCATCTCGCAAAACTTTTGCAAACAATGTTTAATATATATATATTAAGCAACTTAATACGATAATCATTGGGCCCGCGCTTACGACTCTACAACGGTTATTTGACACATCCCTGACCGGTATATCTAATGCATACGATATGTATTACATAGGGCGAACTTTGGGTACCCTAGGTAAATAATTGTATTATACATAACTTCTAGATTTATATATTCAATGCCGAAATTAATATATAATATGTATCATAAATTACGTAATATACATAATATACATTTTACTAAAGGATTTGGCTATCGTAACATAAATAAACCATTAGTTTGTACGGGGTGCTCAATAATGGTGGGCGTGGCAACTATCGCGACACCGTTCCTAAAATACATGACCCTCTTATATGTCGTTAATCTTATAAATGGCGTCAGTTTTAGTGGCATTCAAGTACTATTCAGCGTATGGATAATGGAGTTATGGGGCCACGAGTCAGGTCCATTTATACAAGCATTACAATTTGCATTGTATTCTGCCTTTATAATTGCTCCTATATTGGTTCATTCATTTTTAACCGTGCATACCATTTGGATACCATTTACGTTTATAGGCTCAGCGATCGTAATTTGTGGACTTACCTTGGGATTTATCTATATGATTATGCCGAACCTGAATGCGAATGTTGCCGCTACTAGTGCTAATGAACCAGGTGGTGGCATTAATTTCAAAAATATTTTCAAAGACATACAAACACAAATTATGCCTACACGTTTTGTATTACTAATGACCATTCTATGCACGTGCTTGCAAGTGGGTTTAGGTGGTTTAATATCGTCCATGTTTCTTTATATTTCGACCTTTGGTCAGATGTATAGCACGCACTTTAGCGTGGCCAAAGCCAGTTATTTGACCACGGTATTTGGCTGCGGGTTAGCCATTGGGGCGATCGTTACAATTTTAGGCGGTAAACTCGTGGCGCCCTCTACTATGGTATACACGGGAATTACGATCGCTATGTCAGCCGTAATCGCAACTATGGTTTTCATCGACTACGCGGCCTACGTATTGTGGATAACTGTAGCGATTCATGGGATAGGTGTGGCGCCCTTTTTGGGGGTATGTTATCTGCTAATATCCAAAGTCACCTCGGTCACTAATATGGCTGGAGTTGCGTTAACATTTGCCTTTAATTTGTCACTGGTAATTACTCCGTTAATATTGGGCCCCACTATGGAATTTAATGCATTTTCATTGTTTTACATAATCTTGGGTTATATTGGATTATCATTGACACTAATGATTGTATGGGATATTAGCGTTAATGCTTTTAAGCGTAGTCAATATGAATCAAAATAATATATTTTAAATTTCTAGGCAATATAAAACGTTATACCTACATACAGTATAATAATCGTAAGTAATTAATTTGTTTTAATTTTGACTTAGTAGGAATTTCTCGATACGGAAAGTTGCCAATGCTAATATAATTTGTATGTACAGAAACTTAATCATATGCTTGATAAATATGCAGGGTCAAAAAGTGCGAATTCGGGCGATAAAATGGTCATTTTTGCGGTCAAGAAGTTGGCTGACATGATCATTTTTATATAAATTAACATTATTTGTATAGACGGTATGTATTAAATGTTTAGACGGCACTCAACCGTATTGTATGCACTTTGTGACGCAAACTTATCCAGCAAATGTATGCGTATAATGCAGTCATATATACAGTTTATATAGTATTCAAGTACAAATGACCATGTCAGCCAACTCCTTGACCGCAAGATGGCCATTTTATCGCCCGAATTCGCACTTTTTGACCATGCATATTTATCAAGTATATGATTTAGTTTATGTTCATAGAAATTAAACTAGCATGGCAAACTTTCCGTATCGAGAGATTCCTTCTTAGCTTTCAAAATATGTACAGTACAGTATTTATGTTCTCACACCTCATATAATATTTGCCATAGTTTTTAATTGTCTAAGCTATTTGAAATAAAACTATATAATAATATGTTACAGTTAAATTTATGCAATTAATAACCCGTATTGTTAAAAACATAACGACTTAATAAATATTTTGGCCGGACTTTTATATCATAAATTATAGTTTTAATCATTGGGAAAAGCAGTGAAAAATAAAATAATTAACTAAAACAATTAATTATTGTACAATACTAATATTATTAGACTGTATAAAAATTTAAATCTTTAAAACATTTAACAGTAAACTGTAATTGTGTTGTACTAATGTAATTAATTTTGAACGACAATCAAAACATTACTTAATTTTAAATTTATTTTAAAATAACATGCAAGTAAATTGGACAGCCTACTTTTGAAAGATTTAAATAATATTATTGATATCTCAATATATCACGGGCATTATATCCAAATAAACATGTGTAAGCTGCATTTAGGGAACTTGATAATAGAGCCTACATTTATTTGGATATACAAATGCCAGTGATATAATCAAAGGCTTATTACTGATATGTTATTGTGCGTACAGATAATTAAACATTCATTATTTTATTATACCAAAAGTTAATGATGTTGGCACATTTAAGCATAATACTTTTAAAATTATATAGAACAGTATATATAGCAGCCAGTTTCACGTATTACAAATTATTTCAAATGGTAATACTTAGGGGTGATCCACAAAACTAGTTTTATAAGTTTTATTGAAAGAATTCATTATTTTGTGTTAATTTATTCAATAATTTTGTGCAAAAATGTCTTCAATTATGCCTTCATATGAAGAGTTTTTAAAAGTATTTCTACCGCACTGTCAATCAGCCAATAAAGCCGACAGAAGTCCCGATATTTATATTATCAATGATTTTAATGAATGATATAATAAATAATTGATTTGAAATATTGTTTCGTTATTAAGGGGGGTGGTAACAAAGCGTATGTACGCTTGAGGGGGGTCTTGATATGCGTACGATGTGCAACTAGGGGGAGGGGGTCAATTTTAGGCCTAATTTTTGCGTACGTACTTTGTGGATGACCCCTTATAGCATTACTAAATGTGAATGCTGAATGCTACCTATTTTTGAAACTTACTGATATACAGCATAACTATATAGTTTTATTTCAAATAAGTTATACAATTTTAAGACTTTGGCAATTATTAGCTGCCTCTAGAAATAAGCATATGTATACTTCGCTTAGCTTAACAACACTGAATAAATTCATTTTATTTTGAACTGACAATTTACAAATTACACTTAATTTTTGTATATAATAATGATTGATTGACATATAGCATACGTCAGCGAAAAAGTAATAAATTTTATGTTGAAATATACGTTTAATAGTGTAACTTGTTGATATTTATAAAAAATTATTATCATTAAATCCAAATATAAATTTATTTATACTTGATAATTACTTTGAAAGCACATTTCTTATGAAGTACATGTATTTTCTAATTTCTATCCAATTTAGTGCATGTACATAAACTGATCATAATACAGTATATCCTACTTGATATAATAACTATAGATTGACTAAAATTTTAATATTTTATGCTTTATATATCTTAATAAAGTATCATGAACATTTCACGTGTCGACCGGGACATTGACGACCATATGTCTGTTCAGGCTATCATACAGTACTATCAGGTGAGGGGACACTTAACAGCACAGTTGGATCCGTTAGGTATGATATCGGCGAACATCCAGTCGCCCCTACACTCTGTTACCTCCAGTTCCCCTCACGCGGTGCTCGCGACTCACAACTTAGACGAGACGGATATGGACCGTGTGTTTAGGCTTTCGTTGAACACACGCATCGGCGGCGCCGGCGTATCGGCTCTGCCCTTACGGGAGATACTGACGCGCTTGGAGGGCGCCTACTGTCGACACATTGGGGTCGAGTATATGCATATCAATCACTCCGAGCGCCGGCAATGGATTCGCGAGAGGTTTGAAACGCCCGACGCCGGGCACCTGTCGCTCGACGCCAAGCGGACACTATTGGCCCGAATGACTCGCGCCCACAGGTTTGAGGAGTTTGTCGGCGCGATGTGGCCGACGGAGAAGCGATTCGGTCTCGAGGGCTGCGAAGTGTTGATACCGGCCGTGAAAGCCATTATCGACGCCTCGACGGGCGCCGGCGTCGAGTGTATAGTCATGGGAATGGCTCACAGGGGACGGCTCAACGTGTTGGCCAACGTGTGCGGCGAACCACTCGACCGGATCTTCGGCCGACTCCGTGGGGTAGAGCCGCCGGCCGACGACGAGGGGTCCGGCGATTTGGTGTACCACTTGGGGACGACTCGCGAGCTAATCACCCGGTGCTCTAATAAGAGCGTACAGTTGACGCTCGTGGCCAACCCCTCGCACCTGGAGGCGTGTGACCCGGTCGTGGAGGGCGTGACCAGAGCCGAGCAGTTCAATCGCGGGGACAGTAAGGGAGGGAAAGTGATGGCACTCCTACTGCACGGCGACGCGGCCTTCGCCGCCCAGGGGGTCGTCTACGAGACCCTCCAGATGAGCGCATTGGCCGAGTATTCAACGCACGGCACCATTCATGTGGTGGTCAACAATCAGATCGGTTTCACGACTGACCCGCGCGCCGGTCGATCCTCGACGTACTGCACGGACGTCGCGCGCGCCCTAAACGCGCCGGTGTTTCACGTGAACGCCGACGACCCGGAGGCCGTGCACTACGTGTGCGGTGTGGCCGCCGAATGGAGGCACCGGTTCGCCGGCGACTGTGTCGTCGATTTGGTCGGCTATCGACGCAACGGTCACGACGAGAGGGACGACCCGACCCTCACTCAGCCCGTGATGTACGCCAAGATCGGGCGGCAGGTGTCGTGTTGGGAGCGATACCGGCGCCGACTCGTCGCCGAAAACACGGTGTCCGAGGCTTACGCGCGGGAACTCCACGATAGGTACGACACGATTCTGACGGATGCCTACGAAAGGGCTGAGAGGGCGGCGGCGATGGTGTCTAACAACGACTGGTCGGACAGGCCGTCGAGTGGCTTCTTCGGCACCGGTAGATGTGAACTGACGCCCGACCAGCCGACCGGTGTGGCCGAGGATGTGCTCACACACATCGGCACTCTGTTCGGTAGTCCACCGCCCGGTGACTTCGCGATACACCCGGCGATCGCGCGAATACTGGCCTCGAGACTAGAAATGATCGAAAACCGATCGGTCGACTGGACGGTGGCGGAGGCCATGGCGTTCGGGTCGCTACTCAAGGAGGGCGTTCACGTGAGACTCAGCGGACAGGACGTCGAGAGGGGAGCGTCGGGTCACCGGCACCACGTCCTCCACCATCAGACGATCGACGAGACAACGTACCGACCGTTATGTCACTTATACCCGGATCAGGCGCCGTATACCGTGTGCAACAGCCCACTGTCGGAGTACGGGGTACTCGGCTTCGAGTACGGCTTCTCTATGGCTACCCCTAACGCACTGGTCGTATGGGAGGCCCAGTCGGGCGACTTCCTCAACGTCGGCCAATGTATTGTCGATCAGTACGTGAGCAGCGGTGAGGCGAAGTGGGGCCTACGGCCGGGCCTCGTGTTACTACTCCCGCACGGCATGGAGGGCATGGGTCCCGACCACTCCAGCGCCCGACCCGAACGCCTCCTACAGCTGTCGAACTCCGATTCGGATGTATTTCCCGCGACGATCGACGAGCGTCGACAGTTGCGCGACATTAATATGATCGTGGTCAATTGCACAACACCCGCCAACTATTTCCACATGTTAAGGCGCCAAATAGGCCTTCCCTTCAGGAAGCCGCTGGTCGTATTGGCGCCAAAGTCGCTGTACCGACACCCGGACGCCACGTCCCGTTTCGACGACATGACTCCCGGGGCCCGTTTCGCGCCCGTGATTCCCGAGTCGGGTCCCGCCGGGCAGAGCGCCCAACACGTCAAGCGACTGGTGTTCTGTACGGGAAAGACATTTTACGATCTGGTGAGCGCGAGGTCGGCCAAACACCTGGACCGGGACGTGGCGATCGTTCGCGTCGAGCAGTTGTCTCCCTTTCCATTCGCGGCGATTCGCGATGAACTCCGTAAGTACCCGAACGCCGACCTGCTGTGGTCTCAGGAGGAGCACAAGAATCAGGGCTTCTGGGCGTACGTTCGGCCCCACATCGAGTGCGTGCTCCGGCACCTACACCTCTCGCATAAAATGCTTGGCTACGCGGGACGGGCTGTCTCGTCGGCGACGGCAACCGCTAGTAAACGCGTCTTCGAGACGGAGTTCGCCAAACACATGAACGACACGTTCGCCGGGCTCTGAGCTACCTGTGCTTCCCCGCCACCTTCACTTATCTCAAATAATATATGATTTTAACAATGACAATATTACATTGACATTGAGATATTTAATTTAATATGCCCATACCATTTAATATAATTATTTATAAATTATGACAACTAATAATAATAATAAAACTGTATTCTTGGAATAGCTGTCAATCTTAGGGTAAATGTAGTAGGTGAATTGTATTTAAATTATTTTAATAATTGTTATATCGATCACATCAATTTGAACATTTTACACTATTTAATTATGATGTTATAAAATAGATTAAAAAATAATAACAAATCAATTAAATTGTTATCAATAATATTATATATATAATAATCGGAAAATAGTTTAAAATATTTATTGTTAGATGTTAAATGTATTATTTAGACATAATCTTTTAAATAAAACTACTGGCCCTCCCCTCCACATCCATAGTGTTATATCGTCTGAGATGTGCCTCTTTAGCCATTTGTATCAAATGGTTGCACATCTCGCGACCGGTCTTACGGCACATGTCATAGAAATATGCCTTTCGTTGCAGTAAAACATACGGCGCGTCGAACTCTTTTATCTCACCCGCGTCCAGTACCTGACCCATTATGAACCAGGTCGTATAGTATGAAATAAATTAATTATTAAATACTAAATAATAATCATAAATAACGTACCAAAACGCGGTCGCAATCGATAATCGTGTTGAGCCGGTGTGCGATCGTAAGTACCGTACAGTTTGCGAACTTATGTCTTATGGTCTGTTGAATGAGTTCATCGGTGTGTACGTCCACATTAGCCGTTGCCTCATCGAGCACCAGTATCTTATTATCCCTTAAAATCGCCCTGGCCAAACACACTAATTGCCTCTGGCCTACACTCAAATTGCCTCCTCCCTCTCTGAGTTCACCATCTAATAGGCCGGGTAGTTCATTCACGGTATGTCTTAACTGTGTCTCATCCAAGGCATCCCAAATCTGACTGTCTGTAAACTCAGCAAACGGGTCGAGATTACGACGTATCGGTCCCGTGAAAACTACCGGTTCCTGCGGTATAATCGAAATACGTTGACGTAATTCGTTAAGACCTATACTTTTCGTGTCGACCCCATCCACCTCTACCACACCTGTAGGTTCAGTCATACGAAACAGGGCTGATATAAGGGACGATTTACCCGCACCGGTACGTCCCACTATACCCACTTTTTCCCGAGGCTTAATTGTGAATGACATGTTTTTTAGCACCGGTGTATTTGAGGTCTGGTAGATTAGGTTGACATTTTTAAACATTATTTGCCCATTAGGTGGCCAATCAGGTGGGGGTGATTTAAGGTAGGGGTCATTTGGTGGTGAGACTAGTGGCGCCTCCTGTGGTAGTTTCGAGTACTCAACGATACGCTCGACAGAAGTCATTTGGGACTCCAGTTCCGTAGTCTGTCGGACACTCCATTGTGTCATATGTACGAGCGCCAGTACTATTAACATTGCAAACATGTCAAACTTAAATTGTGCAAGTTACAATACTATTTTGTACCCTGTTTGACATGAGATAGTGCGCCGCACTATCTGCTAAAAAAGTGATTTTTTGGGAAAAAGTATAGGGCGCACTATACGATGGGTGCGCATTATCTGAGAAAAATAATTTCAATTAAAATAATTTTTATTTGCAATAATTTTAAATTAATAGAATCAAAGAATTAAATCAAACTTTGTATTAAATAAACAACTTTATAAATTAAAAACACATTAATTTGAATAAATGTGTTTAAAAACGTGAGTATTAGCACAAACTGACTAAATAAATTTTGAATTAAATTATTTAAACTTTTAAACCCTTTTGTCTTATCTAAATCTTGTGTTAAGCTAATGCCTAAACATTTCAAATAAGAATTTGCCCTAAAGTTCTTAATTTATAGTCATTAATACCTGTGTGTATATTCATATAAAATCTGTGCGCACTAAACGGTGGGTGCGCATTATCTGAGTAAAAACATAGTTTTGTGGTAAATATAGAAAGCGCACTATACGCCGGGGCGCACTNAATACCTGTGTGTATATTCATATAAAATCTGTGCGCACTAAACGGTGGGTGCGCATTATCTGAGTAAAAACATAGTTTTGTGGTAAATATAGAAAGCGCACTATACGCCGGGGCGCACTATCTCACGACAAACAGGGTAATTGCAAACGTACCGGATGAGAATGCAAGTCCAGCACTACCAGCCGATACACTATCAGGGAATGACATTAACACCACCGAAATGGTCACCAAATATAGGACACACAGCCAGTCCACTACCATTCCCAGTGATCGCGATGCGCATATAAATAGGAACCAGGTGGCACTGTGGTCATCAAGGTACACGTACAATTGGTTTTCAAACGTTTGTTGAGCACCGTACGCACGTATACTCGATAAACCATGTAGGGTGGTGCTCACGTGCGAGTATATAGGGCTCCGGGCTATTTATTTAATAGTAATCTATTAATTTATCGTGGTCATTTTATTTCATTATAATACTATTTATTACTTAAACATTCGTAGCGTTTAACGTCCCTTGCTGTTTTTATATATACTGCGCGTACGACTATGCAAATTATTATCAAGATAATCGCTGGTATAATTAAGTATAGGTTTAGTATAGCTAATACAATAAGCAAGCCAATTGTCATGGTAATTCCCTAGTTTTGAAATATTTAGCTTAAGAATAAATAAATAATATTAAATAAAATCTATATTACAATGTTCACGTCGAATCCGGTTATCGGGATCATTTCATCTACTATACCAGTGTCCTTTGAAAATCGATTTAATATTCGACCTAGACCCAATAATAACTTATTAGAAAATTTGATATAACTTCAATAAAGTCAATGATATTGCAGCATAGTTGGTAATATAAATTATGTTATGTATAGTTTGTACAGTTATATAAAAATTATTTTGATATAGTTTAAACATGTCCAGAATTTTAAAAACCACAAAATAGTGATTTATGACATTACTAAACTTATTAATTATTTACAACGCTATTATTATATGTTTTAAAATGATTATATTTAAATTAGTATCAAGCTTAATTGGTTTTTGAATTAACGCTACTTTAGTTTATAATATATCATATAAACTTTAAAATAATAGTGTTGTTTGCTTAAATGCATACATCACTAGTTGCTTTCTAGAACCCTATTATGACCTCTATGATGTAAAATAATATTTTATATTTATCAAACGGATTTAGATATTGTTGCATATTATTAAGATTAAACATACCAATTGGATAATTATCAAACACGGTCATAGGTGCCCTTAATAGCCAATTAAATATATTGTTGTGTAGGTTAATGGACGCCCGCATACACATCGCAAAGAACGTGGTCGACCGCATGAGTGCCGTCACAAATAACGCACCAATAAATGTCGCGTATATAATGATACCCCGATTCTGGTCGTTTGTATCCTGGTCATCCCTTTGGTTCCGGTCCGTCCTATGTTTATATATAAGGGAAAGCTATTTAAATAATACATAATTGTTTAATACGCGTACCAGTTGGCCAGCCATATATCTGAACCGTGGTATATAGCCTGAGATAGCATTGTGGACAAAGTTGCCAAGGTAAATAATATTGGACCGGCACCTGATTTAATATACTCCCAATACACATGACTCTTAATCGAACCAACATCTCGGTGTTCGGCCATTAATTTAGGATTGCCAGAATAATTACGCTTATGATTATTATTGATGAGTAGCTTGGTCTTATTAAAAATATAAATATATAATTAAAAGCAAATTGACATATTTTATATAAATGATTACATACGGTGGCTTTTTCTATCATATTGGAGTACTAATTGCATAGCAAATTTCCAGGCAAGGGTAAAAGTATTAATGTAACCAGTCAAAAGTTTAATTATAAGCACAGATTTAACAATGCCAACACGTGTAAAAGTAATACAAGGGTAACCGATTCAATTTGCATAATATCAAGACCCTGGTTCTGGAGTTGGTTGTACGTCCCCATACCTATACATCGACCCTCGTTGAGCACCAGTATTTGCGTGGCTTTACGCACAAATTGAATTTGATGGGTGACTAATATTCGAATTTTGTCAGCTAGGTACTCGCATATGCATCTATAAATTAGCATTAAAAATTAATTAATTATTACTACCTTGCTACTAAGTACCGACTTATCAAATATATGCTCGGCTACAACGCTGTCAACAGCGCTTAACGGGTCGTCCATTAGTATGATATCTGTGTTCCTGTAAAGAGCTCTACATACGTGTTAAACGCATGCTTTCATTTAATCAAGATACTTTATGATTTATATAACTTAATGTTCTGTATGGATCGGTTTCAATGGGACTGGAAAACTGGGGGACTATTAACGTGGGGAAAGAGCGGATGGTTTCAAAATAGCGGCTTACCATCATGAACATCTAGGGTTTCCAATGCGCACACCTCTATTATTCTTGAATATCTTTTCTCGTCGTAATTCATGCCAAATAGTATATTATTTCTGACGTTATTATTGAATATCCAGGCCTCTTGAGAGGCATAGCCAACGGTGCCCGTGACATGTATGCCCCCTTTTAGCACCGGTAGCTCTCGAAGTAAAGTCATTAGAAATGAACTCTATAATGTATAATTTACTAATTTATTAATCATTCACAATTTTTTAAAAAGTGTCATTTTCCTACCTTTCCGGAACCTACCGTTCCTATTATTGCCAGTAGATCGCCAGGCTTTAAGTGGGCAGAGATATTATCGAGAGTATGGTATGGGATGTCCTATAGTAAGCACATATTTATTTGAAAATGCAATATTGTAACGTGTATGCCGCCTATACCTGACTCCATTTTGCCATAATATGATTAACCGATACCTCATAACGCGGTTTAGAGAGTGGTAATTTTAAATTATTTTTATCAAGATTTATTTCATTTAATTCCAAAAATTCCTGATCACAGAAAATAATTTAATAAAATTTTATAAAAAAATAAAAATTACTAAATAATATTTACCTGTATCCTTTTGCACGATACATACAATTCCGAACTAGTCTCAAAAACCTTAGGCACATTATAAGTGATACAGGTGCGTAAAGTGTTAAATAACGTCATGGTAACAAAAACAGCTCTGGCTGACAAAATGTTCCCGGTCATTACGTATATGGTGAAACATATGAATAGTATTAAACGTGTTTCCACAATCCAAATGGACATATTTAAACCTTTCAGATATAACGTCGTTTTTATAAACGATATTTCTTTCCTAAAATTATGATGACGTAATTTATTAAACTTTTAAAAGTTATGTACTCTATATGATTACTTTCTAGCTAGGTCGACTAAATTAGCAAACGATTGTTCCCAGGCATACATTTTGATAACACGAATACCGGAAATAATTTCATTTATATATTTCAGCCGGGTATCAGTTAATATTGCCGTTTTTATCCTATTTGTCATAAATTTAATTTAATTATTTAAATTATTTAAATATTAAATTTATAAAGTTAATTTTTTTTATATAATGTACCTGCTCCATGTAAACACTTTACACATCAATACTTGAATGAACGTAACCAAAGCAAACAAGGCTAAACCGACAAAATATGCCCAATCAATTTCTATCCAGATTATATAAGATGCCAATATAGTAACCACTGGTGTCGTCACAAAATGCGTACAAAATAACGTAAACTAATATGAATTATAAAATAAAACTAAAGTTTTCAAAACCATATTGTTAAATATTGTACCTCGTCTATACGGGTAACGTCGTTGGACATGAGATTTAAAATTTGACCCGCCGTTGTTTGACACAGGGAGGCCTGGCTTAATTTTAAAATCTAAAAATATGTGCATGTATGAATCGTGAATTTGTCAATTTTGTTTTAAATTTACCTTTTTATATATCAAGGCACAGGTAGCACTCCGGGCGCGCATACCTATTTGCATGACCCGTAGTAGGTGGGGGTGTATTGTTAATACAAATAGGGCTGAGCAAAGGCACACAATAGCTACCGACCAACAGGCCTGGCTATAGGTCACCCCATTTTCGGCACCAAAATAATCTATTATATAACTTAACGCTACAGGCTGTACCATAAGTAGTACACATTCCTACAATATCAATATAATAATCCATTTAAATTCATATATTATAATATAAGATTTACACTTGCTTCAAAAACGGTTGCTAAAATTGGTAAAATAAAATCTTTAGAGTATGTCCAAAATAGTGCACGCCAAAATTTTGGCGACTTTTTTGACAGTTCCATGCTCCAATTTCTAATTAAAGTGTTTTAAAATTAATGAAAATATTAACCTAATACATTTATAGAATTAATTGGTAAAATCTACAACATGTTTGGTAGCCCGAGTCCTACAATATGTTTTGGTTTAAAATTAAAAAATGATAAATTTACTTTTCAAGTTCTTTAACACCTCGTTCAGATTCATCATACTGAGAGCACCGGTACATATCATCCATGTCTAGAACATTTTTACGCCAACCGGTCCAAAATATCGGGTACACCCAACTATTAACAAAACAATATTTATGTTAATTATTGTGATTAACTAGTAAACTGATAACCAAATATACACGTTTAATAATGTAGCAGATTATATTATCAAATATATTAATTTGTTGAATACAATTTACCAACCTTAATAGAATTTTTTCAAAAAAGTTCATGCTATCCCATGGTGATTTGCCAGTAATTTTAGTACTTTCAAACATTATTAATTAATAAATTTGTAAAAATATTTTACTATTTAAACATCACTAATAATTTATCTCAAATAATACAGGGTAGCCTTTTATTAACGATACCATTTTGATTCTCGTTTATTTGAACACCCTGTATTATTTTTAATTGATTCCTTCACCAAATTATAAAGGAATAGTTAGGGTTTTGTTTGATATATAAAATGCCCAGAATATTTTTGTGTGTGATATTTAAAATAATATTTTTCACAAAAAAGTTAAAAAATTTGTGTTTTCATTAAAACTCGAGTATAACTGACATGTACGATTTTAAATATTAATGAAATTCACTTAGCAACTTATTGTAAAGAAGTTTAGATAGAAATTTCAAAATAATCTTTTCTAAATCTTAGTTTATTTTAAGAATATTGATATCAATAATTTCATAATTTGATTTTCAATGTCAAA